ACAAGAAAAATTTTTAAACATAAAAAAAGCTGGACGAAACATACATTGAAAGTTTAAGCTCTTCTGCTTAGGATGATAATCCTTCTAATATTATAAGTGAGAAAGTATACATGTATAGATGGATGTTAGTGACAAGTAAACGTGAAAAAATGCTAAAATTTCATTTTTTTATTGTTTAGGGGCAGTGGTAGAACATTATGACTATGGTAGATGTGCATATACATACACCTATAGCATACCGTAAATTAAAAGAATCAAATTTTCTTAAACCGTGTCCTCTCCCATTCCAAACGCAAAGCACGAGTACAACTTCAATAAGCATTTTATACTCATACGCCAACCTCGAACGAAGGACGGGTACTCTGCTAGTATAAATTTAAAATAGAAAACATTATTTACACAGACATTATTTACAATTTAAAAAAGTACTGAAATGACAACAACAAAAAATGACAGACGCTCAATCACTCAGTCAGAAATAACCCAAGCGCCACAGTCCTAAGATGTAACAGGCGAAGCCATATCTGCTCGAAGTACAACTTTTTGAGAAGCAGGAGTGCAAAAGCTAAAAAATTGTTGTCACAAGCCATTTTGAAACTAATATGATTTTGTTTATATATCATATATTTATCTGCTGCCAATAATGTCGAGGCTCATATGGTCTCGATGGTCATAGTCGAACAGCGGGTTTCAATGACTACAGGGAGAAAAATTTGGTGCAAATAGCCACGCAAAATTAAGCATAAAAGTGTATCTTATTATTTTTTTAGTTGCATACTTGACATTACAGATTTGTTATTATTTTAGCCAACAAATGTCTATGGTCTGTTATAAAAATGTTTTTAGTAAATAATAACATGTTTCTGTTTACGATATTGTTTTGATGACTAAACCCAAATAACCACAACCGAGCAAGTTTCTATAATAAGTTTCTACTAACATTAGATGACAAAGTGCCTGCAGAGACTTTCCTGTCTTGCTGTCATATAGTATTAACATAGCCTTATTTCCTGCGGATTTAATGTCAAATTGTTGAGTTTTATCTAAGGAAAACATGTTTGCAGCCTCTTAGTTATTTATAATTCATTAGTTTTCCTATGATTTAACCAACACTTGCCCTTTCTGAGGTCAAAGATCCTCAAAAGCATGTAAAAACAAAATGTGTTTACAAATGGAACTAGGGACTACCTCTGGCAAGGCTTGAATTTCAAGAATACCATACATGGGGCTTGTAGACAACCAATCTTTTGATATGACTCCTGTTAGTTATAGTTATCTTATATCCAATTCACAATTGATACTATCATAAACTCAGTTCAGTTGATAACTGAATTGATAATTGACAAAGCTGTAAAAGCACTTGTAATAGCCCTAGCAGACTTGAGCTATAAAGTTAGCCTCTCTTAGTTTATGATCTTACAAGTATTACTACAGTTCCTTGAACTGAATGTTCTAAGTCTATAGTTATACAGCATCACTATTGTAACAACTCAAGCAGTTGGTATTCAACTATTGGTACAGAGTGTGGATGTGGTCGTGAGTACAGTGTGCAGTTTCAGTGTGGGATCGACTTTTACTTATGCCTGAGAATAAAATTGATCAGTTTTTTACACCTCCACACCGAAGTGGAAAAAGGCATTTTAAACCTTACACATCCCCGAACAGTGCAGAGGACAACGAGCAAGGTGCAGAGATGGCCGGAGGTAAGGTTGGAGGGTTTTATGGGTAAGATAGGATTATGTCTAAGGTATACTGGATCTAGAAAGTCGTTCAAGGAGAAACAATCTTATATTCCACGGGCTGGAGTGGAGAGGAAAAAGAGTTGATTATAAAGAGGTAGTAGGACGATTTTGTAAAGAAGTGCTAAAAGACGGAGGTAAGACTTTTATCAACCGGGCGCATCCGATTGGCAAAGATGGAAAATTGTTAATAGCTCATTTACCGTATGATGCCAATATATCGACTACATTATGCACGCCAAAAACCTAAGGGGAACAGGATATGCTGTACACCGTGACTACCCATTGGAGATACGGACGAAGCGAGCCAAAAGCCTAAGGGGAACAGGATATGCTGTACACCGTGACTACCCATTGGAGATACGGACGAAGCGAGCCAAAAACCTAAGGGGAACAGGATATGCTGTACACCGTGACTACCCATTGGAGATACGGACGAAGCAAGCCAAAACCCTAAGGGGAACAGGATATGCTGTACACCATGACTATACCCATTGGAGATACGGACGAAGCGAGCCAAAAGCCTAAGGGGAACAGGATATGCTGTACACCGTGACTACCCATTGGAGATACGGACGAAGCGATCTACCTGGCAGCTGTTAGAACCAAAATGGAGAGAGTGGCTGGTAATAACTTAAAGTATGAAGTAAAGTATGAAGTATGAATGGCTTATGAATGATAGGTAACTGTACAGTTTTTAGGGTGTCAGGGGTTAAGAACTTAAACCACCCCCATATTAGTTGTAGTACCTATCTTTTATTACATGGGTTTATTTATTTAGTTTCGCTCAAGAGGTTAGCAGCCTCTTTTAACCTTGCATTTGCCTGATTACATACTATTAAGGCCTGTGCATAGATGGTATCATAGCAAGCAAGGGTAAGCCGGTTCAGAACAAGGGTGAACTGTACAATACAACATTGAGGTAATAAAACCAATTACAATATTAAAATTGCAATATTTATTACAAATAACAAAAGTTATCATACATTATTACTTGTTCAAATTGACTTGAATATTCTTTGGTACTTAGTTTCATGACAAGTGATGTCAACTTAAAAATTAATACTGATGTAATCTTACCATACGATAACTAATCTACTACATACATTATAATATTATGTGAAAGTTTGTGTGTTTGTTTGAAGTTCAATCACGCATTATCTACTGGCCGGATTGGGCTGAAATTTGCCATTATGATAGTTCATATTCCCGATTAACATAACCCTATCGTTATCTCAAAAGTCCTTTCGGGCTCCGCCCCAGTGGCTCTGGAATTTTCCATGTTAGCCTTATGAGTATTCATATTTAAAAAGAATTCAAGAATTTCGACAGCTGTTTCAACCAGACAACTTGGTTCTATGATTTTCATTAGCATTAAAAAGTTATAAGGTTTACCAACAGGGTGCAACACTATTAATTTTTACTTTCTCCTCCTAAGTACATAATATATGGAGAAAGTATTGTTTTCGTCAAAATTTATTAGTTTTGAGTGGATATCCCTTTTGGGTCGCTTTTTCTCCCTATAATAGTATATGGAGAAGGTTTCATCAACATTTTAGAGTTTGAGTTTTGTGTGGATATATCCGTTTTGGCTCCCCCTGAACCCCTGATAATACCATACGTCTGTGTTTCAAAGTAGTGAAAACTTCTATAGGCAATGTATCACTAATTAGATCTATGAAAGACATAAAATAGAAAGTTGTTATAAACATGAGAGAAGATTGGGTTATTCATTCTAAAGATAAATTAATAATTGGGTTTTTTTCTACATTATGCTACTACTTCAACGTTTTATAGACTATAATACATAACATTACTGCCATATAAATACTAGAGGCAAAACTTTAACATGAAATAATATTCAGAAAATTATTGGTGTTTTACTGTTTATGTACATTTGTACAATCGTTCTATGACACTTACTATTACTGGTAATATACAAGAGCTACCTAATTTTCTACAGCTCTCTGTAGAAAATAGGGTCTCCGATAATCCGTCGTAACCAAGCGAGCAGTACAAATGTCTGACACTAATAATGTGTGTTCTTTAAAGTTATCTAGCTTTTAATTATTTTAATTTCTAGCAATAATTAGTCTGATTGTAAATCCAGAAACGATGTGAGAGAAACTGAATGTTTCTACCAAGTACGAATCACGTTAATTTATAAGATTTCTGTGGTCTCTAAGGTATCACCCTATCTCTTTGCCAGTTGAAAGACCATTGAATGTAGGAAAAGGATTGGACCTATAAAGAAATGGAGCAAACATCAGAGATAATAAACATTTGCATGGTGATATCTGTCAAATTTGATGTTATGGAATTTTTGCATGATGATTTTCTTTATCATCATTTTTTACTACTAAGAAGAGATTAAATGCATATGGGATAAAAGTGGCTAGAGCAGTAGTAAGTTAAGAAAACATCGTGTCAAAATTCAACTAGCTTGCTTGGCCACGACAGTGGCTCAATAGGGATCTTAATTTATGAGCACCCCTTATATAGAAAAATTATTTCATATTCTTCTACAGTACTATTTAATAACAAAATTTACTCACTCGAAGTAAAACACTCATCTATATAGTCAGCTTGTTTTGTGAAAATTGAAATATATTAGTCTGATGTGTTAGACAACGTACTAGTAGTAGTAGTGCTGCCTCCCAGTCTGATAGGGATTTCTTCAGTTGATCACTCCGGTCGTCCTCACCGTGTGACTCTAAAACCCTGTCCTGGGACTCTGCTGTAGTGATCCAAGATCACAAGAAGTAGTCTGATGTGTCAGAAAACGTACTAGTAGTACTGCCTCACAGTCTGATAGTGATTTCTTCAGTTGATCACTCCGGTCGTCCTCACCGTGTGACTCTAAAACCCTGTCCTGCGACTCTGCTGTAGTGATCCAAGATCACAAGAAGTAGTCTGATGTGTCAGAAAACGTACTATTAGTGCTGCCTCACAGTCTGATGGTGATTTCTTCAGTTGATCACTCCGGTCGTCCTCACTGTGTGACTCTAAAACCCTGTCCTGGGACTCTGCTGTAATTATCCAAGATCACAAGAAGTAGTCTGATGTGTCAGACAACGTACTAGTAGTGCTGCCTCCCAGTCTGATGGTGATTTCTTCAGTTGATCACTCCGGTCGTCCTCACTGTGTGACTCTCACACCCTGTCCTGGGACTCTGCTGTAATGATCCAAGATCACAAGAAGTAGTCTGATGTGTCAGACAACGTACTAGTAGTGCTGCCTCACAGTCTGATAGTGATTTCTTCAGTTGATCACTCCGGTCGTCCTCACCGTGTGACTCTCACACCCTGTCCTGGGACTCTGCTGTAATGATCCAAGATCACAAGAAGTAGTCTGATGTGTCAGACAACGTACTAGTAGTGCTGCCTCACAGTCTGATAGTGATTTCTTCAGTTGATCACTCCGGTCGTCCTCACTGTGTGACTCCCACACCCTGTCCTGGGACTCTGCTGTAGTGATCCAAGATCACAAGAAGTAGTCTGATGTGTCAGAAAACGTACTATTAGTGCTGCCTCCCAGTCTGATGGTGATTTCTTCAGTTGATCACTCCGGTCGTCCTCACTGTGTGACTCTCACACCCTGTCCTGGGACTCTGCTGTAATGATCCAAGATCACAAGAAGTAGTCTGTTGTGTCAGACAACGTACTAGTAGTGCTGCCTCCCAGTCTGATGGTGATATTCTTCAGTTGATCACTCCGGTCGTCCTCACTGTGTGACTCCCACACCCTGTCCTGGGACTCTGCTGTAATGATCCAAGATCACAAGAAGTAGTCTGATGTGTCAGACAACGTACTAGTAGTGCTGCCTCACAGTCTGATAGTGATTTCTTCAGTTGATCACTCCGGTCGTCCTCACTGTGTGACTCTCACACCCTGTCCTGGGACTCTGCTGTAATGATCCAAGATCACAAGAAGTAGTCTGATGTGTCAGACAACGTACTAGTAGTGCTGCCTCCCAGTCTGATGGTGATTTCTTCAGTTGATCACTCCGGTTGTCCTCACTGTGTGACTCTCACACCCTGTCCTGGGACACTGCTGTAGTGATCCAAGATCACAAGAAGTAGTCTGATGTGTCAGACAACGTACTAGTAGTGCTGCCTCACAGTCTGATAGTGATTTCTTCAGTTGATCACTCCGGTCGTCCTCACTGTGTGACTTTCACACCCTGTCCTGGGACTCTGCTGTAGTGATCCAAGATCACAAGAAGTAGTCTGATGTGTCAGACAACGTACTAGTAGTGCTGCCTCACAGTCTGATAGTGATTTCTTCAGTTGATCACTCCGGTCGTCCTCACTGTGTGACTCCCACACCCTGTCCTGGGACTCTGCTGTAGTGATCCAAGATCACAAGAAGTAGTCTGATGTGTCAGACAACGTACTAGTAGTGCTGCCTCACAGTCTGATAGTGATTTCTTCAGTTGATCACTCCGGTCGTCCTCACCGTGTGACTCTAAAACCCTGTCCTGGGACTCTGCTGTAGTGATCCAAGATCACAAGAAGTAGTCTGATGTGTCAGAAAACGTACTATTAGTGCTGCCTCCCAGTCTGATGGTGATTTCTTCAGTTGATCACTCCGGTCGTCCTCACCGTGTGACTCTAAAACCCTGTCCTGGGACCCTGCTGTAATTATCCAAGATCACAAGAAGTAGTCTGATGTGTCAGACAACGTACTAGTAGTGCTGCCTCCCAGTCTGATGGTGATTTCTTCAGTTGATCACTCCGGTCGTCCTCACTGTGTGACTCTCACACCCTGTCCTGGGACTCAGCTGTAATGATCCAAGATCACAAGAAGTAGTCTAAAGTGTCAGACAACGTACTAGTAGTGCTGCCTCACAGTCTGATAGTGATTTCTTCAGTTGATCACTCCGGTCGTCCTCACTGTGTGACTCTCACACCCTGTCCTGTGACTCTGCTGTAGTGATCCAAGATCACAAGAAGTAGTCTAAAGTGTCAGACAACGTACTAGTAGTGCTGCCTCACAGTCTGATAGTGATTTCTTCAGTTGATCACTCCGGTCGTCCTCACTGTGTGACTCTCACACCCTGTCCTGGGACTCAGCTGTAATGATCCAAGATCACAAGAAGTAGTCTAAAGTGTCAGACAACGTACTAGTAGTGCAGCCTCACAGTCTGATAGTGATTTCTTCAGTTGATCACTCCGGTCGTCCTCACTGTGTGACTCTCACACCCTGTCCTGGGACTCTGCTGTAATGATCCAAGATCACAAGAAGTAGTCTAAAGTGTCAGACAACGTACTAGTAGTGCTGCCTCCCAGTCTGATAGTGATTTCTTCAGTTGATCACTCCGGTCGTCCTCACTGTGTGACTCTCACACCCTGTCCTGGGACTCTGCTGTAATGATCCAAGATCACAAGAAGTAGTCTGATGTGTCAGACAACGTACTAGTAGTGCTGCCTCACAGTCTGATAGGGATTTCTTCAGTTGATCACTCCGGTCGTCCTCACTGTGTGACTCTCACACCCTGTCCTGGGACTCAGCTGTAATTTGCCAAGATCACAAGAAGTAGTCTGATGTGTCAGACAACGTACTAGTAGTGCTGCCTCACAGTCTGATAGGGATTTCTTCAGTTGATCACTCCGGTCGTCCTCTCTGTGTGACTCTCACACCCTGTCCTGGGACTCTGCTGTAATGATCCAAGATCACAAGTAGTAGTCTGATGTGTCAGACAACGTACTAGTAGTGCTGCCTCACAGTCTGATAGGGATTTCTTCAGTTGATCACTCCGGTCGTCCTCACTGTGTGACTCTCACACCCTGTCCTGGGACTCAGCTGTAATGATCCAAGATCACAAGAAGTAGTCTGATGTGTCAGACAACGTACTAGTAGTGCTGCCTCCCAGTCTGATGGTGATATTCTTCAACTGTCCGCTTTGGTCGTCCTCACTGTGTGACTCTCACACCCTGTCCTGGGACTCTGCTGTAATGATCCAAGATCACAAGAAGTAGTCTGATGTGTCAGACAACGAACTAGTAGTGCTGCCTCCCAGTCTGATGGTGATATTCTTCAACTGTCCGCTTTGGTCATCCTCGCTGAGTGACTCTCACACCCTGTCCTGGGACTCTGCTGTAATGATCCAAGATCACAAGTAGTAGTCTGATGTGTCAGACAACGTACTAGTAGTGCTGCCTCACAGTCTGATAGGGATTTCTTCAGTTGATCACTCCGGTCGTCCTCACTGTGTGACTCTCACACCCTGTCCTGGGACTCAGCTGTAATGATCCAAGATCACAAGAAGTAGTCTGATGTGTCAGACAACGAACTAGTAGTGCTGCCTCCCAGTCTGATGGTGATATTCTTCAACTGTCCGCTTTGGTCGTCCTCACTGTGTGACTCTCACACCCTGTCCTGGGACTCTGCTGTAATGATCCAAGATCACAAGAAGTAGTCTGATGTGTCAGACAACGTACTAGTAGTGCTGCCTCACAGTCTGATAGTGATATTCTTCAACTGTCCGCTTTGGTCGTCCTCGCTGAGTGACTCTCACACCCTGTCCTGGGACTCAGCTGTAATGATCCAAGATCACAAGAAGTAGTCTGATGTGTCAGACAACGTACTAGTAGTGCTGCCTCCCAGTCTGATGGTGATATTCTTCAACTGTCCGCTTTGGTCGTCCTCACTGTGTGACTCTCACACCCTGTCCTGGGACTCTGCTGTAATGATCCAAGATCACAAGAAGTAGTCTGATGTGTCAGACAACGTACTAGTAGTGCTGCCTCCCAGTCTGATGGTGATATTCTTCAACTGTCCGCTTTGGTCGTCCTCGCTGAGTGACTCTTCTCGCACTCGTACCGTAGGTTTCAGCAGCGATGATGGACTCAGTATGAGCCATCTCGGCTTCTGCTCAAGAAGAGCGTCTAGAAGTGAGCGATCGGTCTGTACACCCGCCGCCACTCCACTCTCACCGTCTGAAAAATGAATTATAATTCTATCATGTTTTCAGATCATTGTTTAAAAGTAGAAATAGTGAGTTTAAAAGTTTAAAAATTTAAGAGCATGGAACGAGAACTGACGTTTTTAATTTTAAGGCATAAATATTCTTAATAATTTTCTTCTTTATACATACATTGACATTTTTTCAAGTTTTCAAGGCTATTCAAGAGAATAGAATTAGATGTAATACCTCCAAGAATATTTCAAGTTGCTTTAGACATCTGTTTATAAGATTAAAAAAAATGGAAAACCCAGGATTTGTCTGTGTTTATGATAAACTAAAAATTGAAAATGTTCATTTTTAAGACAGTTTGAGTTTGAGATTAAAACTTGAAAGGATACCTATTGTATAAAATTATGTCAGACTATCACAACTAAATGGACTGTATTTTCGATTTATATTTGGAAAAAAGTAAAAAAAATCACAATAATTGAAATTAATAAAAAAAACGTGGTAATAAAAATACATGAACATCCGGCATCGTGAATCATAATTATTACAGCTAGGTATCATAATTAATATACCTTACATTTTGCTCAATAATATGTTAGTCTCTTAGAAATTAGAGTGTATTCACACATAGAAAGAATAAATGTCTACTACGAAATTCATGAAATAGAATGTCAAAAGTAAAGATCAACACAAGCTGCAAGAGTCAACATTAGCTGGTAGGACACTTGCCAGATGTTCTACTTTGCCCCAATGCAGTAATAGGGAAAATTGGTCTTCTGTTGTTGGGTTTGAAACCAAGTAGTACTGTAACGTATGGAAACTCTAAAATATTGTTTTTTTTTTCTAAAACAAAAATTGTTTGTATAGAACAACATATCTAAAGTGTACCTATAAAAAATATATAATTGTTATATTCAGTTATTATACTCAATGGATATAAATAAATTTATTTTATTTATTTAGTTACAGACCACACCTGTTATAGTCCGAATTTCATGAAATTTGGTATGCAGATACTAATCCATGCAAATATAATATAATATAAGTTAATATAATTCTCAAGGCGTTTTTTTAAATCTTTTTAAACTTATAATTTTTAATGGCTATTTTCCCCATACAAACATATTAAATAACGGAAAAATCTAATAAAAATTGACCAGAACTATATTTTTCCTACAGTTACCTAACAATGTAAATGTTCTCTCACTGATTTGAGAAAGCAAAGTGGCCAATTCACTCATCAGTGAGACAATGTTAACATTGTCTCACTCTAATTACTTTGTCTCACTCCAGATTTGCAACGTGAAGTCACGAAGTAGTGAGCGCGTAACATGCAGGCAACGTCGTATGCGCGCGAAATACGTTGGCAGCACTGGCTGTAAATCAGCTGGTCAGCTGTTGTACTGTTGTATTTGTCACTTCACATTAAATGTTATATTAAAAGTTCACTTCTGTGTAAAATTAGGTTATGTTTCTTCACAAATTTATTTGTTTTATGGTAACTGTAGGAAAAGTATAATGTGCAACTCGAGTTCAAAGTACAATTGCCTCACTCGAGAAACCATTCCTCACTCGCCTACGGCTCGTGAGTAAGGATTTCACTCGAGTGAGTCAATTGCTCACTTTTCTCACTAGTTGCACAAATAACTATTGATTAAGATTTAGTATTTTATATAGTTCTTAAATTTTAAACAAAATTGTATCACTCCTAAACATTGCACTCAGAATAAACAAACAGAAATGTTTTCAATCCAGTAAAAACATGATTAAGCTTAAATTTCAACTATGCCATAGCAGATTTTTTCATTATTAAATCCTTTTTGAGTATTTTTTTTTTATTTCCCACTCATTTTCTGGATTGTTTATTTCTTCAGTAAACGTTTCATGGATGTCTATTCTGCGAACTAGCCCCTACAAGAAACTTTCACAGTAAGAAAAATGGTCCAATATTTTTATATTATTTCAGAGCAAATTGTACAGTTTTCATTTATCCTCTTTAATTGCCTTAAAGATTAATTGTAGACAATTATTCTTCATGTAATAATTTTAGTCTTATAATGATATGAATGGGTCTCAGTACACAATTATTCAATAGGTTTTCTCCTACATACCAACCAGTCTTATGCCATCCATGCTCCTCTTATCACACACTAAACACACACTTGCTATCACCTACTTGCAGGATGTTGCCATCTGACGGAGGGATGATGGTTGCGACGGCTTGTCAAAGCATTGCAGTTCTGCCCTGACTCTGAGTTGGACCCGTACAGAGTTACACATCGGTCCCTTAACAGATTTGAATGTTAATAAACACTGCTAATTAAACACACACTCACACACACGTGCGCGTGCACACACACACACACCGGCAGTTAAACTAGTCAGGTAAAAAAAAGTAATTTGACAAGGTTTTTTTAAACTTGTAGATATTTCATCTTTGAAAAAAAAAACACTTTCAGAGTTTATAAAACATGTTCTGAATTCATAACAATAGTTTTAGCCGAATTCTAAACAGTATGTAAAGTAGAGGTACCACAGTATAAAATAGTGTTTGTTTCCTATAAAAATTAACCTTTTGTTAACTGTCCCCTTTCATCACGAATGATCTTCTAGCTGGAAGGCCACTTCCATACCGGGGGAGGACTCGTGTGCCGTCATTTCAGTAATATTGGGGGAATGCAGGGCGTTTGTAAATGATAAATAAAGTTTACTAGGGTTCAAAACTAGTTTACCAGTCAAAACGAATGATGCAATACCTGACTATCCGCAGTAGGCCTACTATCCTGATAGTTAGACCAATTCGTTAATACCAAGGCAAAAAAAGTGGTTCGGATTCCACTATAAATTGTAGATCCCTTAGTTGCCATTAGCTGTATGGGATATGGAATATCATCGCATAATAAATGTTTCTGTGTAGACGTTAGTTACACATACTTTTTATCAAATAAAATATCCTTACCAATTGAATTTATTTATTCTCAACATAACCCATATGGATAGTAATAATAATTCGGAAATAATAATTTTCAACAATCGTCCTTCATTTAATTTGTTTATCTCTACTATATGTTCTAATAATGGTGCTGGTCATTGTACTTAGTTATGTATTAATTAAATTGCTTGTCTCTTTGTACGTTTTGATATCATTCGAAAAGTTTTGGAATGGTTCATTGAATGTTTAAAAGAAGCTTTTTATCTGATTTATTCGAGGAATAGTCCCTCAGTTAAACCACTGTTGACAAATACTAATTTTATCCATGCAAAATCCCACCAAAAGGTGTTGAAAAACGAATCATTGAAGTGATTTTTTTTTTAATCTAGTGAGCAAACACACCCAGATAGAATGGCCTGGCAAAGGCAAACATAAACATAATAAGCAATGAGACACTACAGACAGCTGTGGTCTCCTATATTGCAGCACATGATGCGCCACGGTGGTGTCTGTGTTTTGTTGCCTGAGTACACGTGTTACACTCTTCACTTCTTTTTCAGATTTTTATTTTCAACATGATATGAAACAGATCAGTAATACCTGTTTGGAATTTCTAGGTGCGTCTTGTCCCCAGGTTGCCAGGACTGCCTCACATTATTCGGTCTGAAAAAGTTTTCTGGATTAAAATTTACCTTTATGGATTTAATGAAACTGGACTCCAACAGTAATGTATACCGAACACTCAATGCTTAATAGTGTTAAATACCTTCATATTTATTACCAATCCACCGTTTGTAAAATAATTTTAGGTGTAGTAAGAAATATATAGGCTGATATTGAAATATGTAGCCTATTTGAGATTTAATTAGTACTTTACCAACGAAAATAATACTTTGTTTATTTGAGTACGTAGTACATACTAAATGTAAATGTGAATTCTTCATTAAATAAATACATTAAATGTTTTGTGGACTTTCAAAACGTTATCAGTTCATTAAACACATTCATACGGTGGCTTTCTATTATGGGACATTCTAGAAACTCTTGTTAACAAATGTATTAAAAATTAATTCTAAAGTGCCTTATAATCCAGAAGTAATACAATCTGGGACATAAGACGATCAAAGTTTTAAAGAGTATGATAATCCTATCAATTTTTAATTATTAACTACCGTATAGTTTACGATTTGTTCAACGCCACAAACCAGGATAAATTATACAATTTAATTAATTATAGCGTTAAAACGTAATTATATAACATCTACCTAACAAAAATAATAGTTGCAGAGCATTTTTTAGTGTAAGCCTTTTTTGTAGGGGTTTTCATTAGGTCTACTGTAAGTCTAACATGGATGACATTTAGATATAAGTGTGTAAACTAATAAAATATTTATATTGACTTTATTATATTCTTATTTTCATCTTAACTCTTACCCAGGATTTATCAATCACTCAAATCAAGACTGAAAATATAAAGTTAACGTTTAGAAACATAAACTAAAAAATACACAACTCTGTATCGTCTTAATTGACATGACTTTAAAATATCTTATCTTTTAGCAAAACCACTGAGCATGACATGACACTGCAAGAGGATGGATACATGTACGTCAATTTGTGAATTTGATCTGACGTGATTGACTGTGGATACCAGTTACAAAAGCATATAACAATGAGAAATGTTTACCTCGGAGAGTCCGTGAAAGGGAGGGGATACGTAGCAGCCTTGAGGTTCCCCGAGGCCACGGTGCCGATGTGGCATCTTATCTCCTTGGAGGTTGTGAAGAGCGCTCTGTTGTTACGCTCAGGCCGTACAAGGATGATGTACAGCTTAGGCATAAACAGGAAGACCAGAGTCACCATACCGCTCAGCGTCACACACACGCACATTGTGATTATCTGTCAAGAGAGAAAGACCGTTAATACCTTGGCTTTAAATACATCTGTGTGTTCTTTGATAATAAACAGCTGAGGGTAGGGAAAATATCTCGTCTTTTGACTAACTAGAGGTCATCAAGTGGTCGAAAGCTCGACCAAAAATAATGTAATGTACAGACTTCTCTATTTTCACCCCACGCTGTAAATGAAACATCTGATGATTGTGTAGCAGTCATCCATTTGATTTGATTTTCTGTCTATCCTTGTTATCTCGTCACCAGTATGGCAACCCATAAGGCCCATGCAATTTTTTTAAAAATAAAATATCTTTCTAACAGTATGATTAATTTTTCCCTGCGATGAACACGAGCTGAGAAAAAAGGTTACAAAGAAACATGCTTGCCTATTAATATAATAGATGGATTAAAATCCATTATTGTAGCCCCGTAACTGCTATTTAGACTAGAATAAGGCGAAAATTATTATCTCGTCTGCAGTTTCAAAATTGTGTTTGTACTTTGGTAGTTACATGTTTCGATAGAACGCCATTGTCAAACTGTCGTAGTACAGGAACATCAAAACCACTTATTATAGCTTCGTCGTGTGTATGTGAGCTAAATGTCTACCCGACGAAACTACAATAAGTGGATTTTGTACGAAACATGTAACTACCAAAGTACAAACACAATTTTGGAACTGCAGACGAGGTAATAACCTTCACCTTATTCTAGTAATAGATAGAAATAAACATTATATTCCATAGCTGTTGGATTATTAGCTTTACCAGTAGACAACATTATTTGTTAAAACTGGCATTTTAATGGACAAATATTCCATGTAAACTCTGGTCGAAAATACTCAAAAACACGCTCAAAAATTAGACAAAGATAAAATCAACACTGGAAATAATCTACATAAGTAACAAATATAATTTATCCATCTTTGGTAACCTTAAATCGGAAGAAACATAGTAATACCCTCTATAAATGAAATCCTTAGTAACCTGCATCTGTTTATTAAGTAGTGTTGTTTATTTTTATGTGTGATGATTATATGTCTCTGTACACAACATTGTACATGTAAAGTTTAGATTCTGTACCCTCTCCTCCTCGCATTATTTTTCCTATAATCTCTTATATTTCAACAACTCTCATTTTCCACCTCATTTAGCTGGATTTCACATTGTTTCTGAGATTTAGAAGCCGATGATGATTACACCATGCCTTTGTTTATAATAAAGAAATACATGTGACAACACACTGAAAGAAATTGGTGGTGTTGTGATTTTAAGATTTATCATTATTTTAATAATATTTAACTAATGAATTAATTTCGATCAGTAAATTAATTTTTGGCTGTGGCGTGGAATAGTTATTCTATGTCTATGTTAATGCTGTAGCTAATTTTATAACGAAAATCAACGAAGTTGAAATGAGCTACCGACAGAGTGTTCTATTTGAAATCAATTAGGCCTACTGATTTTTCTTGCATATTTTATCCAAGGATGTGAAAACATAACTTGCTATATAAAACTGTATATCGTTTACGTCCCAATTGAATATCGTGTTGTGAAACACTGAAGGAGAAATTAGAAATGCAATTCAACTGTCCTCTTTGAATAGAAAATCTAGCCTCAGCTGGTTCACTTAACGGGGGCAAATTAACTAAAATGGCCTCTTTTTGAGTAACAATTGCTGCTGCTGGTACATATATAGATGAGATCTACTCCAATATCCAAATCCATCTACGGAAATGGAACGGATAGTGTTATAACTAAGAACAATTAATATTTTTTAAACTGAATATTTTTTTACCCAGAGGAAATGTGTATTTTAATTTCATGTTTGATGGCCATGTGGTAATCTTTGTCAGCAACAATAAAATAATACATTAATTTGAATAAAACATGGCCATTAACACTCAGAGTGATTGAGGAGTAAAATACAATGAATCATATTTCAGACAAAATATCGTTCAGCAGCCTGAAACAAAAATAAACATTTAATTGAGCTTAATTACACAACATTGGTTCTTTTGCCATTTGTGTGATACTGGTTCAGTAATTTTTGCGTAACACGTACTACATTTGAGAGTTGTTTGTTCATGTTCACCTTGAAACTATTACTAATAAAATCACTATTGTCTCTTGAAAATCCTATTAGATAAATAACAATGAGGGATCCATACAGGTTCATCCCTCACTTTGTTATCTGTTTTATTCTTACCGTTCCTTACACAAAGTACACTTTTGAATTGCCAACAAATGAAACACTTAAAGTACGAGTTATCCGACCTCTAAGTCAACAAAAAAATTCGTTGATAGCTACAAGTTTATCACAAATAAAGTACCTATAGAATCATAATTTTTTCACTCACCTTTGAATCGCTACCAAAGTAAATAGGAACAAAAGCGATCCAAATGACACACGTGGTGTACATTGCGAACCCTATGAACTTTGCCTCGTTGAAGTTTTCTGGAACGTTGCGAGTCTTGACGGCGTAGAGGGTGCAGAGAGCGATGAGGAAGAAGTCAAAGGCGAGAGGAACCACAACTCCCTGGGGTGAGGAGTTGCAGACAAGAACAGCTCGGTCAATCGTGGGGTAGTTAAAGGCTGGTCGGGCCGGTTCTAGAACTAGCATAGCTCCAGCTACACCAGCCTCTATACCAATCAGCACCAAAGTCATCAGTACCTAGAGATAAACAAAGAATGTTGTAGAGAGTCACGGTGGATGACAGGAATACCTGAGCTATTTGAGGGTGAAGAATCCAAAATGAGGATTTGAACTAGAAACTAAGGTTTGAGGGCCGAAAAAAATAAATAAAGAGAGATAAACGTAAATTTTACTTAATTAAAATATTGTAGGCAAACAATAGGAATGGAACCTTCAAAGTACAACATATTTACTCAGCATTACATATATTTATGACTAATACAATTTTCAACTAAAAACGTACATCAACAAATTAAACCTAGTTGAGATTCACCTGAGCCGTTCCAGACATGAACCTCATCTTCCTTGACGGAAACCTCTTCTTGGAGCCGGCGAGTATCCTGGCGATCCTGTTGGTCTTGGTGAGCAGTGAGGCGTAGATCATGGCAAAGCTGAGTCCCGGCATGACGCGGGACAAGCTGCAGCTCAGGACAGATGGCCTCGCAAGGATGGGGAAGGTTGTGGCGTGTGACAGAGTCATCCCGGCCAGGATCATGTAGCTGAGCTCACGCGTGGAGCTCTTCACCACGGGCGTGTCGTTGTAGCGGACGAACACTCCAGCCGTGAAGAAGGTGCTGAGGAAACCGAGGCAGGAGAAGACGATGGACACCACGGCCTCGGTGTCCGTCCACTTGACAAACTCGATCGGGATCTGGTCACACACTGAACAGAATGTGAAATTATATGTTAGATGGATGGCTGAAAGTAATACAATCGAAGGTTTTTTTAGTAAACATTTAAGCGAGGAGTGCTATTATGGTTCACATTCTTAAAACTCATAAATACATACAGTACGGTAGATTAGTTTGATACGCCTGAGTGCGTGGTCTAAGGTGAAGATCAGTAGAGAAAGATGAATGTTGAATAATTGAAATTATAGCTTTGTTACTGACTATGATCAAATAGTTTAAATTGATCGCACAATGAAGTTTGTAATGAGTGCGTACTGTAAAAATTCTGAAAAGTTGGTACTTTTTACATAGGCCTAGAACAATCAAAGATGGTTCCGAAGCATAATATAATTTAAATTAGCTCTGATTCAAACAATTAATGTAAACGTGGCAGCGTAACGCTATTGTACTGTGATTTTCTAGCATTTTCTGTTTGAATATTGTTAGCGATATCTAATAAACCGCAGAATATTTAAAGATTTGGATGTAAAATCTCCCCACCGCCACAAACCTGCAGACTAAGAAAATTTGCATTTACTTGATTGGATTTTCAATTAATCTATTTGAATAAAATTTCAGTTTATAAGTACCTAGGTTTGCTGTAACAGGAAGGGCAATAAAGTGTGTTTTTGGTAAAGTATGAATTGCTTAGTATAAAATAAATATATTTGCCAAGTTTGATCAAAATATATCCATAAACAAGTAAACTACAACATTGGGCTTTTAAATTTACAATTTATTAAAACATATAATATATTTACAACCGTAAAAAAAATATAAAGTATTTGTTTGTTATGCTCTTTAAAAAGATTTAAAGAAAAATTGGGAAATTGTAAGCTCAAAAATTTAAAAAAAATATTGAGGGTCAAAAACTAGAAAAACCAATGTCTTATCGCTTAACAAAATAATACACTAAATAGCCTAATTATATTTAATAAGTAAGGAATCTCTCACCAGTCTTGTTCTTGTTCGGCCAGTATCCCAAGCGGCAAGGCCTACACGTCAGTTCATCTATCAGAATAGAGTTCGCCTCGCACGGAACACAAACCCAGCAACACTTCTGCTCCTGACCACCTGTCTGCAGATTCTAGAACGTACAGCACTGGCTTAATTAGGTATCATCTAGTGTTATAGATTTTAGGACTTGAAAAAATACTTCATAATTCACAAGTTTAAGTTTGCTTTACAATTAACACTAACTCAGCAACCTAACTGCCCCTTTACTAAGTCTTCATGTTACCTAATACTTGTAATATACTCCTTATATACATACTCAAGTTACCTCTGATTATTTAGACAATGAACATTGAAATTTTATGTTCTGCTCCACTGACAATGTCAATGCATGTAAATGTCCATGATAATAAATGATTTGATTTGATGTGAATACTTTCTTATGAAATGGCGACCATAGGCTACTATATAGGTATCTTAAGCCCAGTATGAAAGAAGATGAGTGTAGGATGAGTGGCGCGAGCTTGTAGACTTGTTAGTGACTAAGGCCGACATGTTCCTTAGACACAGCAGTTAATTAATAGCCCATACAGCCAATGGCAACTAAGGGACCTACAGCTTGTAGTGGAATCCGAACCACATTTTGCCTTGTAATAACGAATTGGTCGAATTATTAGGATAGTACTGTGGATAGTCGTAGTACTCACTAGTGCGGACGTTAATCCACACCAGGGAGCTTCGCATCCACAGTGCATGCCTATAAATATCCACAATTAGTGACTTCCTAGTAGCTGGATTACAGGACGACGCCACCGTCCCAGATAAATATTACGTAAACATTAAACCATAACATTCAAAATCAATATTTAGATAAAATTTAAAATATCATTTGGCGTAAAATAGTGACGTTATAAGTATTATACGTGAACAAATATAGTCAATATTCGTCTCAATGAAGTATTGAAGACGATTGCACCATACTGAAAAAGTAAGCAAAGTTTCTTGTAACAAGTTCAACAGAAATGTATCAGTGGTTAAGTAGACCGAAACTTTTTTTGGACAACACAAAGTGTAGTTATAGTTAGTACTAATGGTAGTTTACTTTATGGTGCATTCAACATGACAGATTAAAAACCTGAGCCCCTAGAAATAACCTTAAATTTATGAGTTATTTTAAATTAAGCGGATGAGAATTGTATTTTTTTAAAGACTTATACCCACGAAACATATTTACTTGCTTTTTAATGTTCCTGAGAATTTGTTAGTTTAGTATAAAAATAATCTGTAAAATAAATCGTATTTATCTGTTTAAGTTTCAAATTTGTTTAATATTTAACGAAGATAAAATAAAATTTCCTTGTGAGTTGTGTACAGAACTGTCGCTAGCTACGATGCGTCGTGTATTTGTTAAAGTATCTGTTGTATCTACAAATCATGTGAATCCTCTACGGTGCGCTTTAAGTGCTCCGGTACATAGAATTGAAGAGATTTACCGAAGATGGTCCAAGCAGCTAAAAATTCAACACAGAAATCACATAAAAATTAACGTGTGTGCACTATTGTACACTTTGTACAATATAATGTTCTTAGTTCCTTAACTGTAAATGTTTAAGGGTGAGTTTTCCATTCCACATTTACTTAAGTTTAATATTACCTGTTCTATTTCTAATCCAAGAATATTGATCACACATATTGTTTCAACAAACTCTATTTCAAAACTAAACCACAGAAAGAACAGACTTATGTAATACAACACTACCATTTTATGCTGTAAATTATTACATCCTTTCCATGTTGATGTTGTTTAATTTGAACGTTAGAAGTCCATTAGATTTAACCTGTAAGAAAACATTTTAAGAAATGGTAGAAGAATAAAGTGTATTGATGAATTTTAGTGGTGGCGTAAATACGCGAACCCATGAAATTGGTGCCTTGGGTGCGTAGCCTAGCTATTTGCACTACCCCCTTCGCCACATTGCAATGAGCTATATGAAGGGGAATTTAGAATGTTCACACACGTTTACATAAAGTTACCCTTCTCTCAGCTTGCACTATTGTGAGTATCTAGGTTTTTTTTCGCTCACGTTCTAGAACGTTAGGACGTCTCTAGTAACGTTAGGAGTGTAATAATCTAACTCGAAACCATTTTTCACATTACTTCAAGCTAGGCAAGGTTGTTGCGTAGACGTTGGCGTAGACACGATTGGTCGTTGACATAGATAGATGTCATTGGTCATTGACGAAATGTAAACCCGGAGCCTCAATGACCCCACGCTCTACACTAAACATTATCTGTCCTCCTGCACTATTAGTCAATTATGATATATTATAACTGACTGATAACATAGTAATGTGATGGTGTTTTCAGCAGCAGGCTCACCTTGTAGAATCCGGGAGGACACGGTTTGCTACACACGGACTCCACCTTTACCCCTGGCTGTTGTCCGAGTTGCATCTCCTTCCAGATATGTAGAGAGCCGTTGTTCCAATCCCCGACGTGCTTGTAGTCATAGGTACCATCCTCCTGCAGCTGGAAGTTCATGATGTTATACCTGGAACAAGAAGGAAGTTTGTGACATTACCTTGAATAGAAAAGCTTACGAGGAGGCCTGGAAGAAGAAAATTCATACTGTCAACATTTTGAGTTAAAACGGCTAGTTTTGTAAGTAACCTTTACTTTTTCTCTTTGACACCTAAATTCAATACATTGGAAAAGTGATTTTAGAAGCATCCGTGGAGCTTTGTCACAACGAAGTCATAAAGGTAACCCGGGATTACTTAATTCACAAGGTTTTAAAAACTCACTTGGTTTTGTATTTGCTTATGAAACGTGATCGGAAATAATTGCACAATTTGTTAACCTCTGTTGGATGTAAAATATATTAGTGACAGTTTGAAGGAAGTTCTTTCTTTGAAGGAATAGGTTTACCTTGAGAACAGGTAAAAACAACGTAAAACGTTTAAAAATGTTGGGTATGTTATAATTTAGTTGGGAGGTTAGGTTGTTAACCTGTTCGTTATTTCGACGTATTCATAAACAAACGATATAACATAGTTGTTATATAAGTACATAGGTATTTAATGACATAACATGTAGTAAAAATACGAAACAAATGGCACAAAACTGTTTTATTATCGTTTGTTATTTGATGACATAACAATAATATGTAGTGAAAATAAGAGGAAAATTGCACGAAACTTTTTTTACCGTTCGTAATTTTATTTCAATGGTAGTTGTGCTACCAAAAAACGAAAATTACGAACATTTCATCAATCCAAATGGATTGATGAAATGTTCGTAATTTTCGTATTCAATAATACATGAAAACGATTTAAATCTTGATTGGTACTCTAGATTTCTAAATTTGCATTTTGTTGTCACAGACGGACACAAACTGAGAGTAGACTCGTGTCGGCTTTCTTGTGCTAAAACTAAAAACTTCATGATTCTACGCAATGTACAGACAACACTATTTAAATAAATCTATATATACAGGGTGTCCCGGAACTCTCTACCAATATTTTAGGGCATTGATCCTGGGTAAGAAACGTACCTAAATATCATATTTAAATTGTCCGGAAGTCCTTAGTTACTCACACAGCCGCCATTTTGTTTTTTCAGTTATTAATTTTTTTCTAAAGAATGGTTAAACATACGAAAGGGAAACTTTGCACAAACATTTATGACAACTAGACAAAGCTGCAAAAAAATTATGAAGATTTTTCAAATTCATTAAACAAAATGGCGGCCATTCAAAATTTTCTTTCTTAAATAACTCAAAAACCATTGATTTTACAAAAATTTTAAATGGCCGCCATTTTGTTTTATGAACTTGAAAAATCGTGATAATTTTTTGGTAGCTTTGTCTAGTTGTCATAAATGTTTGTGCAAAGTTTTCATTTCGTATGTTTAACCATTCTTTAGAAAAAAAATAATAACTGAAAAAAACTAAATGGCGGCTGTGTTAGTAACTAAGGACCTCCGGACAGTTTAAATATAATATTTAGTTATGTTTCTTACCCAGGAGCAATGCCCTAAAATATTGGTAGAGAGTTCCGGGACACCCTGTATAAAAGGCAAAGCCCTCACTGACTGACTGACTCACTGACTGACTGACTCACTCACTCATCACTAATTCTCCCACTTCCCACTTACCTAGGAGGCTGAAATTTGGTACACTGATTCTTTAGGCATTAAATAGGAAAACTAAGTGGTTTTTATTCTGATCGGACTCTCGGGCTCCGCCCCAGTGGCTCTGGAGTTTCCCATGTTAACCTAATGAGTACTCATATTTAAATGGAATTAATGAATCATAACAGCTGTTTCAATTAAACAAGTTGGTTCTGTTCTATGATGTTCAATAGCATTAAAGTTACAAGGATTACCAACAGAGTGCCAATATTTGACAACAGCTAATTTGAAACCAAAAGGCGAGTGAGCGTAGCGAACGAACTTCAACCCGGAGGCGAGGTAGCGTAGCGAACGAGCTAACCTGAAGGCAAGTGAGCGCAGCGAACGAGCTCCAACCGTAAAGGTGAGTGAGTGTAGCGAACGAACTTCAACCAGGACGTGTGAGCACAGCGAACGAGCTCCAACCTAAAGGTGAGTGAGCTTAGCGAACGAACTTCAACCAGGACGTGATTGAGCCATGCGAGCGAGCTCACGTATGAAGTTAAACGGGGCAAAGCCCGCGGGAACAGCTAGTAGTAATATAAGCTACAATATTACAATCCACTAAAAGATAAGCTTCATTTCCTTCTCTGCGCCAGAAAACCTAAGTCTTTAGATGTAGACCCTAGACAATATGTATAAAAACATCCCTTTAGACTAGTCCATAAACATTTTAAGGGTTAGACAGAAAACAACAGCCTAAGGTGTTACTAAAATTGAAGTGTATGACGTAACTTATCAAAAATAGTAATTTAATAAACTACTTTAAATTCAATGACAAATACTACATCCAGGATGTACTAGCGATGTGGTCGCTAATGTCTAGATGTACTAGCTTAAATCTAAACAATCGGATGGTTGAGGATCCAAAGCCAGCTTTCCATCATTCGAGCAGTTTCGCTTAGGCTACGGGGAACTAGACGAAAAATTCCAAGCATTCAATTTGAAGATGGTGCCGCAATTCCCCCATTGCTCTATCGAGCTTTCATTTTATTTTTTTATACATCCCAAGTAGCTAGTATTTTAAAATTAAAATCTTTTCTATGTTTCAATTTTTAACATAAACAAGTTATGAGCCAAAACAACAAATACAGAAAAATGTATACTACCATAGTTACGTTGATAACATCATGTGTTTGTTTAAAGGGAATCAAACAAAACAAGCCCCAGCTCGGCTTCTTTCACAAGCCAAGCAATACACGCCACTTTTAACCATCCAGTTTCCAACAAAATGGCAGCTACAACAAGGAACTGAATTTAATCAAATACATCGCGCAAGATAATGGCTATAAAAGTTAAATAATAGACAGGATAATAACAAATCCCGTGTCCCGAAGCACACTCCCCAAAATAAGAAGAAATTCGCCACACTAAGTACAATAATTAATTAGCTGACTACATAACCCACAATGTATTATGAACAACCATGGTTACGGAGTTGCTTTCAGAAACCCCAACAGAATAGAAAATCTTATTAACCCCAGGAAAGAATGTATTGGTGACAAATTCAACATCAGTGGGATTGTCAAATTGAATGTCCGAAATACTATACAGGACAAACGGGGAGATCATTCAAACCCCGTTTTAAAGAACATCTCCCCAAGACAACAGTCACCCAAAAGTAGAACTATGCTGAACATACTATAACATGTGGACAAAATTACAGTTCCGTCTCAAACAATTTACAAATGTTACAGAAGTGCAAGAAAAGTCTTTTAATGTCCACACTCTAATGTTATGAGATTTATAAGGCAGTAACAGTGTGAACCAGATAACATACTGAATGACAGAATAGACCCCTTGAGGAAACTAATTGTTGGACACTGTGATACGCCTGGAAAAGAGCAAACGTTGTGACCACCGCGACAACATTACCGATCGCTCGTTAAATAAGTGTTTGTGTATTGTGTAATGTCTGTATTATACTGTCTGTATTATGTTTATACTGAAGACGGAGCAATAGCAGATAACTTGATGATATCACTGTGTTGACGAAACACGTCGTAATCTATACCAAACTTGGAACTGTAAAAGGTTACATTATTATTTATAGTTGACGTTCCAGTAATAGGAAAATAATTCCATACATAAATAAATTATAACCAATCATTAATTATACTCTATTAATTCTATTGATCAATTAATAATCAAGTTTATTACTTTTATTTTTTTACGACGTGAAAATAGAGCTCAACAAATTTAAAGTAACGAGTTTGTTTATATTTTCCTTGTCAAAACATATTATATTGCTCGAAGACAAATTTGTCAACATGTTGTCGGCTTAAACAAATTTGTGACAGAGAGGTAGGCTAATATCCAAGCCAAAACGTGGCGTAATATATCACTGTCTGAGCTCAATATGTGAAAAGAACACTTCAGCTTTGCAAATACCACACTAGCTTCTGACCGAACCGGGGCTTAAAAGCAAAAATTGTACCTTTTTTAATCAAACTCTTTATTGTGGTTGGTATCAGTGGCAAGTTGATTTAAGAATCTTAACCGCATTTTCGGGAAGAGTTCAAAACCTTTCAAAATGTTGAGAGCATGCCAGTACCGTAGTTTGAAACCCGTACTCAAATCACGCCAGTAACAAACCTGTTTAGTGTCTTGATTAAAAACGGATTCAGTCGAATTAACCCATTGAAAGCCTAGTAAAATAAAACATTATACAGTACCTAGTTAAATATAGTTTACAAGCATATTTCAATTAGTATTTAAGTTTATATATATAGATAACGGGGTTGGCATATAAGTATAAAATGCTTATTGTAGTTATACCAAACTCAAGCTTTGCTTTTGAAATGGGGGAGGACAAAGTTTGATAAAGTTTCCTTCTTTAAATTTACGGTATACTATAGTATTACACATCTACCATAGCCATAATGTTCTACCACTTCACCTAAACAATAGAGAAAATATAATTATTAAAAATTCGCAAAAAGTCACAGATTATTCATGAAATTATAAACATAAACATAACTGTAAACAATCCTACTTTGACAGTTCTCATTGTGTATCACAGTTTTTTGTTGCTGCTTATTAGTTATTTTCATAAATAAAAAAAAAAAAAAAATAATAGTGCTGCACCCTGTTGGTAAATCTCATTACTTTTTAATGCTTTTGCATATCATAGAACCAACTTTTTTAGTTTAAACAGCTGGCTGAATTCTTTAATTCCCTTTAAATATGAATACTCATAAGGTTAACATGGTGAACAACAGAGCCACTGGGGCAGAGCCCGAAAGGATTTTTGAGATAAGAATATGCCTATATGTTGATCGGGAATGTGAGCTATCATCATGCCAAATTTCAGCCCAATCCGTCCAGTAGTTTATGCGTGATTGACTTTCAAACACACAAACAAACAAACAAACAAATAAACAAACAAACACACAAACTTTCACATCTTACTAATATCATAAATGTGAAAGTTTGTGTGTTTTGTGTGTTTGTTTGTTTGTTTGTTTGAAGTTCAATCACGCATAAAGACAGATTATGAGAGATTAACATATAGGCATATTCTTATCTCAAAAATCCTTTCGGGCTCCGCCCCAGTGGCTCTGTAATTTCCCATGTTAACCTTATGAGTATTCATATTTATTAAAGGGAATTAAAGAATTTAGTCAGCTGCTTCAACTAAATAAGTTGGTTCTATGGTTTTCATTAGCATATGGATAAGCATGGAAAAGCATTAAAAAGTTATAAGATTTACCAACAGGGTGCAGCACTATATTTTTTTGGCATTTATGAAAACAGCTAATTTGAACTAACCAGCAACAAAAAACTGTGATTCACAATGAGAACTGTCAAAGTAGGATTGTTTACAGTTATGTTTATGTTTTTCATTTCATGAATAATTTGTGATATTTTGCGAATTGTTGATAATTAATTTTTCTCTATTGTTTAGGTGAAGTGAACATTATGGCTATGGTAGATGTGTAATACTATAAAATACTGTAAATTTAAAAAAGCAAATTTTATCAAACTGTGTCCTCCCTTATTGCAAACGCAAAGCTTGAGTATAACTGCAATAAGCATTTTATACTTATATTCCAACCCCGTACGAAGGACGGGTACTCTACTAGTTTATAATATTAGTAAGATTTTACCTTAATTTTTCATAAACAATGTATGTGATGCTTCTAAACTACCCTACTATCTCTGTATTTTATTTTTTGAAAAAAAAATGGTCACTTTGTTTGTATACTTTCCAGTTTGTATACCAGTTTTAGTGTGGAAAATAAGACGGATTTGATTTGATTTTGCCGACTTTTCGACCATTGGGCGAGCTCTAGTATGTATAAAAGGAGAGTGTGTGTGGTTATGTGCCGCGTGTTTGCATGACCACTTATTTCCACATGGTTGTAGCAGTAGACTGTTACTGGGATGCACTCCAAAGTAGTTCCACTTCGATAATTACCTTGGGCTCTGCCCCACGGGCTTCCAAAGATCTGAGGTGAGGGTTTTCAAATAATTAAACTTTGATTGGATTTCATGGTAACCATGACGAAACTCACAATGTTTACATTCATGTTGACAAACTGACTACTTGCATTTAATTCCATTAAGCATTTTGGATGTGCTAAGTTAAGAGAGATTGATAGGTTTGAACCAATTCTAAATTTCGCAAATGATTTTTTTTAATTTTTATCCGAAGCTCATGCTGCAATTTAAATATCAAAGTTATGTATCGTCCAGTATTAGAGTTTTACATATACCTGCTTTTATAGTATTGGACAAGCAGTCCCTGGGCTAATAGGGTAGTACGTGACTGATTGTCCAACCCTTGGATAGAACTTTGGGACTTATACGACCACATTTAATAAAGATAGAGGAAGAGAAATAGTGTATGTGTGTGTGAGAAAGAGAGAGAGAGAGAGAGAGAGAGAGAGAGAGGATGCAACGTACCTACGTACCTGCCTGGGGGGTCACCTCTCCGATCGAATTCGACCGTCTCTTCAGTTTCTTCCGTGTCCTCATCTCGGTAGGCGAAAGACACATTCAACAAGTAGTTCTGAAAAATCAAACATTAGATAATTATAAAAACATTCAAGTTTGTTTGGTAAAACGAGCATTCCTTCATTATGGTAATTGATTTTGAATAATAAAAGTTAACTAGACTTTTTGTCCGATGGCAAATCTTAACATTTGTGTGCTTATGTCAGGTAACACTCGAATGTGTTGTCCTTATACTACAGTAGAGTAGATTGAACATTATACGAAATTACCTTAATATAAAAAGGCCTAGATACAGGGAACAACCTGTAGCTTACAACAACTTTTAGCGAATTTCCCATATAGTGAATAAGCTATTACCGTAGGTCTCGTGGTAGGACCTAGACCCGGGACCGATTTACTTTTTGATTTTGAGGTCCCCAGAGGCCAAAAACACTATCCATTCAAATTCATATAATGTATATATTATACATACAATGTGTCCGTTAGTGCGATAACTCGAGAAAAAATGATCAGATTTTGATAAAATTTGGTACAAAGATGTACCACTACTACGTTTACTACGTTACTACGTACGTACTACCACAGACATGGTCAATGGTACTACGTTTATTCGAAAGAGTTTGCGAACCAGCATGATCGGACTATTCGAATGGGGATTTATGGGGTAAAAATAGACTTTTCCTATTTTTGACCCTTAAAACACAAAATTTCTTAATTTCTCTCTAGACCGTTTTGTGGAGCTTAAAAAAAGAAATAAGTTTGTACATTGAAGCATTGTTTCATGTCTTATAGTTACGGAGAAAATTTCAAAAAAATGTAAATTTAACAAGTAAATTCAACAAGTATGCCCAACGGTTACGGAGATAATAATAAAAAATAAAAAAAATCCCATGTATTCTTATGGAGAATAAATTAACTCTTGTAGTTTGTTTGTTTATGTTTTAAGCTATCAACATTGCAATAAAAAACACACAGCAATATCTTCCAGGTAGCATAATACCTTAGAGTACTTACTAAAATTAATGTTATTTAAATAGGAAATAAATCTGACAACTTTTAGGGAATAGGTCTACTTTGGTAGAAATCCAGCCAGGTAAATGGAAATTCCCTTAAACTGCAGGTTTGCTGCGGCTGAGTTATTTATTAGTTAGTGGTGATCGGAAAGTAAGTAAAGTAGCCTAATAATAAAGAGAAAACATCAACGCGCTATCTGTAAGCGTATACATTGACACTATCTGCATAAAAAAACTCCACTATCTCCACATTTAAAACTCCCACGCTATTTTTATGGAGAAAATTGTAAACTGTTGTAGTTTGCTTGTTTATGGATATATTTTTGATCAAACTTGATAAACTTATTTATTTTATACTAAGCTATTAATATTCTACCAACAATTATACTACCCTCCCTGTAGCAGCAAACCTATGAACTCGTTAAACCTAATGTTATTTAAATAGAATTAATTGAACATCAAATTAAGGCAAATGAAAATTCGCTTAGTCTGCAGGTTTGCTGCGGCAGGGGTATCTTATAATTCCAAACAGTTTTGGAATATAGCTTTCTGGAGTACCAGGGTTGAAAACTGGTGCGCGTTAGAAATTAAATTGGCGAGGATAATTTTAGCACTGGAACCAGCTTAGTATTCATTCAGCTTAGTAGTTCATCTGTATTTACGGCCATTGTTAAACCCGTAAAGGAACGTTTCCCCTGTATAATGATGGTCAACCGACCAAGGGTTACTTCACAATACCACCAACCCCTCCTCTCATCCTCATCCGGGATTGATTGAAAAGGGAAGTCCAGATAGAAATATTAACACTTGTATTTAAAATCCTTCAATTCATGTCTATTTTGAACTTTCACGTTTTGTAAACGATATGTTCTAAACATTCTCTTGTCCATTGTTGGCTTTTGGTTGGAAGTGATTATCAAAAGAAATGTCTAGTATTCATTCACCAATAGTCACTCGTCTGTTGTGGTTAAAAGCATTGTTGAAAATTGTGTAGGCCTACTATTGTATCGGATTGCATTTATGTTGAACAATAAATTGTCCAGTAACCAACTGTAACTTAGGGTGCAACTAGATTAAACTCATATACGGATTATTCGTATAAATAATATCCATTAGCAAGCAGCCATTTTATGTTGAGGAGTTTTAATGTCCTTGAAATTTATAGAATCATTAATTCTATACACGTATAAACAAATTTCAGGTATCCTGCTGTAGCAAACCATTACTTGGAGCTAATCAAAGTTATACATGATCTACAATAAAAGGAAACTTACACTTTAATTCATGCAAATATGAGTAACAATTATTACTTAAGTGTAATGAGTGCTTAGGTGTGTTGCTTCAATGGTTACAAAAATATGTTGTGTTTAATACCAAAGGGCCATTGGTGGTGTAAAGTAAACGCAGATATATCCGTAAACAATTAATGAACAACAACTGCATTATTTTTCACGAGGTTTTAAAAGTCTACAAATACCAACGTAACCTTCCTTGCCTGTTGTCGGATCGGACTGATTCGCGGACTCAATTAAATGAATAGGTTGTCAAAATTTGACAAACATGTAAACATTTAATGTTTTTGAAATGTAGTTGTAAACGAAGAATGTTTATGACTTTCCTGAATCATTTTTTTTAGTTAGATTTCAGTATTCATTTTCTAATTCAAACTAATTCCCTCGTAATATTACAATATTCCAGATATTTTTTTGTTAAACTTGTTCTAATGTCAATTTTTTTACTTTCTAGGATAGACTTTGAGGCTCGTCGTGAAGCCAGGTGGCAAAATATTTTTTTCCAACAAAAACTCGAATTGCACAAACGTATAAAGTATTCCCTAACTGACCTTGAACAGAGACCCGTTGATCGGGAACAGCTGAGGACAGACCCCCACGTGGTCCTTGCCACACAGTTCCTGCTGGAGATTGTGGAGTCCGTATGCGAGAGTGTAGATGGCTTTGATGACGAAAGACAACTTGGGATCCTGCTTGTAGCGGTCACTCAGTCGTTCTGTGCCTGCGACAAGACAAGTTGTAGTTGAAGGATTGACTTTACATAGTACTAAGGCAGAGCTCCTATCTATATGAACAAACCAGCTGTAGCTAAATTTGTATTTGAGTCGAATCTAGTGACAGAGAAGTTGAGAAGATGAGTTCGCTAACTTCATAGGTCCGAGTTATTTAAGTTTCGACATTTTGATCGTTGATGTGACAAATAAAATATTCGATAGTTTAGAATACGCTGTGCTCTTGGATTAGTGTGGTTAAAGAATTTACGTGTTTTACAGAATTGAGACCCCTACCACTATAATTCACTACTATAATTCACACCAGTACACCCTGCCAGCTGCCCAAAATAACAAGGTCCATCTTCATTACTAAACTGGTAACAGGTGGTAATAGAATTAGTCTCTACATATTCAATGGTAAAACATAAGTCAAGAAATGAAACTGGATAACCGCTGTGATTGTGCTCAAGAAAAGCTCAATATTTGTTTCTAACTCATGGAAAGGCTGATCCCTACATAATTTCAGTTTGCCACACTCCGGATGTTCAACCTAAAAAAAATAAATAGTAAGTACGTAACAGCAAGCAGAAAAGTAAGAAGAGCATGAAAACTGTACGTAATCTGCCGTTGCACCGTTTTAGTTTAGTTGTGAATGCAACCGTAATTGTGAATGTGTATTTATGCCTATGATTGTGTATGTAATTTTACTGTTGGGACTCAATCCTATTAATCGTTCAGTGAAGAAAACTAATTTCAGAATAATGTTCCATGGCTTCTATAGTCAAACCAGTTTCCTCTCTCCAGACAAACTTATGACAAATGAGGTGTTTGATGGAAGTTGAATAACGTATTCAATCATAGAAATAAAGTCTAATTAACTCTGTTTAACCACAAAGTACTTTTTGAAAAAATATTTACAGACGAACCTGTGCAAGTCCTCGGTCGGGAGAGGTTCACCGACTCCCCTTCTCCAGGCATTGAACAGTTGAACCTCCACTGCCAGAACTCCTTGAACCACGGGTTGCGAGAGTTGTTGAAGGGATTGAGCCGGAAGTAATGGTTGTCGAAGGAACGGACGTACGGAGAGTGTATCCGTATAGAAAGACTTCCATGGGCCTGCGGCTCGTAGCCATCAGCCACATCACTTCGGTCTGCCCAGCCGTCACTGCAACGATTCACACACAGGTTACAGATCTCGCCTAGCAGTAAAAGGGCTCAGGTTCGATCTTCATAAAATAAAACGAAAAATGTTGACCCAGTTGTTTATAGGCATGTCTCTGGCAAAAACAAAATAATAACCAGTATCATTAATAGCAAAGTAGCTTCACATGATATATAGCTCCCTTCTACACATAATGCGTTCATATTATTAGTATTATGACATCGATTCGTGACTCCTAAAATACAGATATTGTATTTGTATAATGTTTTGTAAGGGTATTATGATTATATTGACAATTAATTATCTCATAAAGTATGGATTTTGAGTTAACAGCATATATATGGTTATTATAGTTGTCTTGTATATTAAATACAAACTATATATGATAGGATACCAACCCTAACTAGAGACCACAACGGAAACATATGACCACGCGATATTTCATCGTGCTGTTGTATTTTAATATGATTTGCCAATTGTTTGACTTCAACCCGACGCGAATAACAGCGCACGAGCGTTGTACCAGCTTACCAAACATTGTGAAATGAATTAAGCTTGGACATTATCTGTATGAATTTAACTACAAAAACACTTAAAAACTGATTTATTTTGTCCGAATAATATTGTCAATTACATATTCCATAGTAAGTGCTATACAAAGAAAAAGAGGAAAGGGTGCTGTTAAGTAATTAAATTATAACTAGAATTTGTATTGTCAGTTAAGTCTATCTGGACTCAAAGGCTAATTTGCTCCATTGTTTATGATTTTTTAAACAGTATTCTATTAGTTATATTATATCTGGATAAATATAAAGGGACTTTGTATTTTATTTGGGGTAAACGTTAAATCCCTTTCAGTTTTCAGCAGTCAGTGCACAAAAACTGTAGATGTTCCTCAATTTAGGACAATACAGCTTAATTTGACCTGTTGGTAGAGCCGCTCGTCTGATATTTCGGAGTGTTGCCAGGCGTTAATACTGAAAGCCACTGATTACTAAAAGAGAAAACGTATTGCATTTTTTCGTTAAAATGTAATACAATAGGAAATTTTCATTTATGTTTGTTATTAATAATACTAAAATCTAATACATTATCTTATCAAATATAAAATATTATCTGGATATTTTGATTTTTTTATCAAGTAATGATTTGATTAGCAAGAATATTAAGAGTTTTTAAAAGAAATCAAAATGTCAACTAGGTTAAATGCCCGTAAAGGCTTTTGCCAAACGTCCATACAAGTCATAATTTGAATACACTTAAATATTTAAGATTACTCTGTGAATCTTCATCAATATACATTTGCAATATCTGCTGATTGTACCAATATTTAATACGCAATCAATTAAATTAAATCCGTTGACTATTGTTCTTCGAGGCAACCCATTGCAGACTTATAAAATTATGTCCTTTACAAAATACAACAGCACTAAAATTCATACTGTTACACTACTAGTCATGGCATGACCTGTAGTATACTAAGGATGAGAAACATACTTAAAAAAGAATAACTGATAAGCTATATAAAACAAAATTTGATTTTCAAGTTAATTATGGTAGCCACATATCTACATGTTCAAACTAAATTATATTACTTTTGGGAAAATTTAGGACCTCCAAGGCCTAGCCTGAATGGAGGCCCCATTTATACATACATTTTAAAACTAAAAACAACTCTTAGACGCTAACTTAAATTAAATGATAACTTAAAATATATACTCCTGCCTTAAAAATAAATAAAAGCACTTTCTAAAACATATACTTCTTGCTGTACTACTTTTAATTGTTGAAGTATACAGATTTAAAAAAATCTTATATTGAAATGTGTTAAACCTGTATGGTAGTAATAAAATTGATGTTTGTTTGCGTAAAAAGCCATTTCTGAAATAGTTTTCAATACTTTTTAGATTAATACATTTACAACAAAATAAGGTTACTCAGATATCCCTTTGATTAATGTATTTACGAGTTGGGCTTTTGAAATCTATGAAATTTTATTACCCCATAGTCCATCAAGTAATTACAAATATTCAGTGCTAAGTCACTTTTATTATTTCAAAAGAGAATCAGAAGTGCACGCGCTATTCAAGAGTCAGTGTTCTGTGGTGATGAGTGAATGCGAAAGAGGGGTGTAAGAGGAGGGTAGGAAGAAGAGAAGTGTGTAAGGGAAGAGTTTCAAATTAAGACTTCACTTCACTCTAACAATAGGTTCATTTAAAGAGAACCCCGAGCTTTTCAATGATTTTCGTGCGAGGAAAACAATTCATAAAAGTTGCACACGTTTCAAAAGTGCTTAAAACGTACATATTTAGAACAGATTGATTTGTTTCGCGACTCATTTAAAAATAGATTATTCGTAATAAGTAGTTTGACTTACAAAATTACAGTACCTCCCCTACGGCTACAAGTTCGTAATCAATTCGAATGGGCAGTTTTGAACTTGGTTTACTATTGATAGACATCTAAAATGTTTGTTCAGTTAAAAAGTAAAACGAACGGGACTAGGAATAAAAACATCTTAAAGCATATTTTAATGGCAAAGATATAAGTAGAAACATCCAATGAGGACTGAATAGTGAATATGAAACGCCCCTATCTCATATCAGACCCAAAGAACAACCTTCTGTCCCAAAGTTATCTCAGTCTCCACCTATCTTCAGGTTCAAGCACTTAAACTTATCTTAGTGTTATGATATAATGAATATTGATGAATCATGTAGTTGTCTAAAACCGTAAACTGTATGTCTAATACTAGGTATGACTTATAAACACTACACTTATCCTTCACTCATATGTGGGTTAAAATACGCACACAGTGGCGTCCCCATCTTTAATAATTGATATAGCCTAATTAGCGTTTGGGATTTGGCGGGATGATTGTGTGAACTAAAGGAGTCAAAGATTTAGCCAGTGGTACATGATACTGTTAAGTAATATAGTGGAGTTTGCCCCTCACAAACAGCAACCTTCACCTCTAGTTATTGTGGCAGAAACCACTTACGCAAGGGGATGGTGAGTTAAAAAAACCCTAGAAGCAAAAGTTAAGTGGGAAGGCCCACTCAAATGAAATTCGCAGTTGTTGTTTCAGTGGACAACCAACTGTGAGAAGCAACGTTGTTCCTTAAATAACCAGAACCGAGCATCAGGAAATATCATGGTGTTGATATAAAAAATAAAAGACTAATCGATAACAGGACTCAATTATCTGTAATTGGAATTCAAAAACTTTCAAAACAGATATGTCTGCTCCAGAATCCAAGAGAAACTTACGACCACAGGGTAAGTTAGTTACAAATAAGCGGCGAGATTGAAAGCCCCTGTCATCCTGAGCCGCATTTAGTGACGGGGCAGAAAGTTTTCCTGTTGTGCATTCTTTTTTGGTGTGAATAAACAAGGTTGAACACATTTTTTAGCATTTTCACCAAATTTGTTATTATACCGGAAAATTTCACCTTGATCATTTTTCTCTTTAGGATAGTACTTGTTCTTATGTTTGGCTGGAAAGTTGCGTTTACTTAACTTAAGAAGTCCATCAATAGACTGAGTTAGTTCACTGACATGTTTTTCTAAGTTGACAATCCGATCACTAGATTGCGCTACATCTCCATGAGCACAAACGTAGTTGTCAATAGCTGATAGTTCAGCTATTTGGTCACCTAATTTAGCTAAGTCATCAAGAGAATTGGTTTGAGAAGCAGCTAGAGCAGTACGAATGTGATTAGGTAGACGTTGTAGAAAAATAACTTTCAAAAAACTGTCAGTTACCTGTGTGCCTGCTAAGGTTCTCATTTCACGAAGAAGAGTTGTCGGCTTCTTATCTCCGAGAAAAACTTCTGTTGTCAGTTGTTTTAGTTTGACATTTTCTGAAATTTCATATTTTGAGCAGAGCCTTTCTTTTAAGTCAGAGTAGGGAGTTTGAGACAAAGGTTTGATAATAAAATCTGAAAGGTGACTTGCAACTTCATTGTCCAGTGAGCTCATTACATAATTGTATTTAGTTCTTTCCTTTGAAATTCCATGAAGAGAAAACTGACATTCAATTTGATGAAACCAAAGTGAAACAATTTTTGTCCAAAATGGTGGAATTTTTACTTGAATTGGTGAGATTTGTAAAGCCTCTGGTGTGACAACAGCAACCCTTACCTGCCCAGAAAGATGAATCTGCTGGTGAGGTTAAGTCTATGAGTGGCTGCCAGCAACCCTTACCTGCCCAGAAAGATGAATCTGCCGGTGAGGTTAAGTCTATGAGTGGCTGCCAGCAACCCTTACCTGCCCAGAAAGATGAATCTGCCGGTGAGGTTAAGTCTATGAGTGGCTGGCAGCAACCCTTACCTGCCCAGAAAGATGAATCTGCCGGTGAGGTTAAGTCTATGAGTGGCTGCCAGCAACCCCCGCACTGTCATCCCCTCACAGAAACACACCACTACCCTTGCGTTCTGGTCTTGGTCCAGTTTCTTCACCACGTTGTCAAACACTTCGTCCTCCGCGTTGCTAAGGACCGAGTCTTCCTTGGCGATGCAGATGTTGGCTCTTTCCGCCAACTCTCGAAACGCCTGGATGCCACTTTGGCCGTAGTTTTCTGAAAAAAGATCAAATAAATAGGTGAAATGTGAAGCAAATACATAGTGGCTTCGCTATATTTTGTTCAATCACAAATCTATATTCACATCTTTTTACGAGATATTTTCTCTTCTTACGAAATATCGTATTTTGTTTATAAACAAAGTATTTAAATTTCACCGTTCATTAATTTGATTCACGTTTTCTGCAACATTAAAAATGTTGTATGGAGTAAATCTTATTAACTAAAAGTTAATAAGATTTACTCCATTTTTTGGTGTATGTCAAAATATGTTAACCTTATTGAGCAGAGCGAAGGGAAGCTGTTTGGGATCGACTACAATGCAAACTTTCTAACACATTAACTCAACAACGGCGAACATATTTTAGCCAAACTTACCAAGGTTGTTTTGCTAAATGTGTAGAAGGTTTGGATGAAACCAATTTCAATTTTTGATAATGTCTAGGCCCTATATAATTTAAAAGTAACTCAAAGTGTTTAAATTTTAACATTGGACTTATGGGTTTCCATAATGGTTAAAAAATAACGACGTAAATGTAAACAAAACAAAAAACCATAGCATAATATGTTTAAATCAAGCTACGACCTAAACACTGTACAAAGAAAAAACCACTGATCATATAATACAGAGAAAGTCTTATGTTTAAATTTAAGTCGCAATTTGGAAACGACTACTGATCGAATAGGTACAGTACTTTACATATTAGATTTACGTCGCTAAACAAGGTTATAACAAATAAAATTTGTCTTATGTTATTGGGAATTAAAACAACTACATGATTCTGCAGTTTTAAATTACTAGGTATTCTCAAATCAATATTTATTTTTATCTTAATAGGCTACTAACTGTTGGCCCGTCCTACGTACGGGAATCAAGTGGTCGATTAAAACTGAATATAATTCAGAACAGCTAGTTTACACGTATAGGCCTACAGAAAAATTCTGGCAGTTTTAATAGGGAAAATCATCTTGTAAACAAATATCACGTTACTACCTATTTCTTTCAAATCCGATTATATGATATGCATTTCAAATCCGATAATTTTACATTAAAACAGCGACTTGAAAAGCCTTAAAGCAGGATTGGTGGGTGATTCCCACACACTGGTTTATGATACAGTTGCTACATATCACATTTTATTGCGTACTATCACTTAAAAGAGTACCTTATTTTTACCTCAGTGGCCACTGACACCTTAAGAGGATTTTGGCCTCCCATTCTCTTCTATCCCTTGCCTCTTCTAATGTTGATCCCAGTCTGGAGAAGTCTTTCATTGCTTGGTACTCCAAGTAGTCGTCTTACTTGTCCTTGGAATACATTTTTTAAGTTGATGTATCTTCTCTCCTCCACGCATAGCCTGTCCTTCCGAGCCTTTTACTTCTGGAAAGCACCCCTATCTGTGTGTTTAAGCATTTCTCTTAGATCTCTGTTCTTTCATATCTCAACTGCAGTTATCTTTAAATGGCCCGTATATTTTCTCTGTACTCTATTCTCAAACTAAGCAATAAGGTCTTTCGGTTCTTTGGTCAGGGCCCAAGTTTCTGAACCATACAGTACTACTGGCATAATATGGTATGTTATGAATCAAATTTGGTTTATACTGAAACCGTGCAGCTTATTGGTCAGTTTTCTATAGACCTACCACACCAATTTTTGACATTTGCTTTACTAACAAAAAATTTGGTACGCCAACTTAGTTCTGACATTATTAAATAAATCGTCCAAACCTATATTTTATATCAATTTCACTGCATTAATTGCTAAATATAAGTAAACAAAGAAAATTCAAACAATAACAAATAGTTTGTTTTGAAACAGCTGTTTAGTTGAAATAACATTCATTTGAATAAAACTTGTCACATGTAGAAGGAATTTATAAAAGTAAACACGCTAGTAAGCTAGTGACGTAATTTTCCCATGTTTTTTATCCATCCCGTTATCCGTTTTAATATCCGTGACAACAACCCACTCTCATTGAATATGTACATCGTAGTTTCCCATATTAATTTATCCTTGATCTCCTTGTTTGATAACATCAATACTTCCAGGCCAAATCCAAACAAAATTTAAGCAGTCAAACATTGATTTATTGTAAACAAAAAGCTGCCAAGATGGATTAAAACATGTAAACATTGTTATTTTCTTACTCTTTCCTCAAAAAGTCGAGGAGTATAATAATTTGCATAGGCTTTTGTTTAGACACTCGTAGACAGAGCGAGGCTCTACATCAGAGCCTCGATTTGTATACAGCAATTGTCTTACTCTGTAGTCTACTCATCCTATATTAATCTTACCTATTTACTATAATCAATGACTAAATCAATGAATAAATAAAATAATCTCATAGTTCTACAGAATATTTTTATATCCATCCAGCTGTTAGTTAAAACAAATTATATTGCAATAAAACAAACCTAAGTTTTGAGGGACTTCTCTAAAAACAATTAGAACATCTAGTATTTCGTTATGTATATTTAAATAATCTGTCATAATCTTGCCGAATAAATTAACGCATCACTGAATATATCATTTTACATAGTATAAATAAGTCAAGCCTACGTAAGTCATTTAATTTTTATCTAAATGCTGAATTTGTGTCACAAATGCTGAATGTTTACAGCTGATACGTCAAGCAAATGCTATTATACAAAAGAAGCCTAGAATGTTAGCGTCGGCTGCTAGACCTTAACAAAATTTAAACTTAATTTCTAAAAAACTGAAACCCTAAACTAAAATTATGGCTTCGACATTCTCTAGTACTCAAAATTATCTTTCTTTCAACACAAAAATCATGAAAATCCGTCAAGTGGTTGATTCAGAATCGTGAAAAAAACCCTGTCACGTTTTAATATTATAGAAGATAGATGATGATGATGATGATTATGAACATGCTTTCTTATTATTTACTTTGAAATATTTTTGATGATGTAATCGTGTTGGCAACAAAATTGTTGTATTGATTGTTGTGTTAGGAACGACTTGGGGTATATTATTTCCCAAAAAGGATAAAGTATTTTTTGCATTTTCCCAAAACATAAGCATTTGGGTATTTTATTGTTTTACAACAATATTATTGTTGTATTATTGTTGTAACAATATATATTGTTTATTTTATTTTATTTTATTGTCTTATAAAAGTGTATTAATAAAGAAAATGTCTGAATTTAGAATTCATTCTAAAAAACTGTGTGATATTTGTAGAAAACGAAGACGATCAGTAAACGCCCGAAACCCACGAACAACTATTTCTGGCAGTGTTGTGCGATAGTTGAATGTGGAACACATGCTTTTCATAACTATGTTAAATGTACAACATTTGAAAATAAACAACATATTCCGTATGGTGACAAGTATTTGTGAAATTCTCCCAAAGCAGGCAAGCCATTAAAAAATTACGTCTGCTAATCGTATGGATCCATGCAGGATTATTTCTGTCTGAACTGCAAAATCTGGCCAAGATTGAGAAAATGTCGATTGGTCAATTCAAGGTCGGGTTCAACCAGAATGGGTTCACCAGATGACTTTAGCAAGCAAACACAGGAAAAATACCTATACAAAGGATATGTATGTAAAGTCCACATCTTTACTTATGAAACTTGTTATAGATGTTGATAGTTCTGAGCGAAACTGAAAAATTAAAATGATGAAATAGTTGTAATATGTTATATTTGCAAACATTTTTTTATTTATTGCTTTAAAAACCATGAAACGTGATCGCTCCGTTCAACTGGCTTTCACTGTTATGAAAGCAATCCTATTAAGTTTCCTATTTACACATATCCTATTTTAACAGTACTATTTTAACAGTATAGTTTAATTTGCACCATCTCTAATTTCTATTACTATTTGATGGCATATTGAAAAGACAATACAGTATCTATATTTTAGTATCAATTCGGCTTGGGGTCTGACCAGCATCCTTCATATAACCCCTCTCAGATGCGTAGATAAATGTGAAATAGAAAACAATTTCCTACTATCAACAGTCACTGAACAAATCAACATGGAACATATTAAGCTCTGTGTTGATAGCATTGTGCATCCTAGGAAAAATACAAAATTCAAAGTTCAGATTGACAATTCAAATTGTGACATAAATACTTCTCACTTAAATCAAATAAACCCCATTATATCACTTAAAAGTTAGTAATTGGAATCTTGTTACTCCTTTGTATAATAGTGCCATTCTAAGTACACTATGCAGACAGTTCAAGATTAATATCCATACTCAGTTGTTAATAACATCAGGGAGCGATCAGATGAACCTGTTGTTTCCATGAAACATTAACTGTACCTGTGATTAACTGGATTTGTTGCTATCAATTCACAAATTTTCCTACTTGCGTTGGCTATATAGACTTCATTTAGGTCAAAAGATCTTGAAAAATTTAAAGTTTTTACAAAAACGGTTTTATATACTCTTCTAACCTATTGCAAGATTGTGTCGATTTAAACAAACAGTTTGAAGAGCCATTGTTCATTCCTTTTCTAATGTATTAAAACGCTTTGAATGATATTTGTCTTATTAACTACATCAACATAATCAATATTAGCGTTTATAAAGATAAAAGAGTGTGAAATATCTCGGAAATACTATTTGATTCATTTAATTTTATTTTAAATTGAATTGAAAATCACACAAGAAATGAAAGCTTATAAAACGTTCCTGTAACTAGTTGGAAACCATTGCAGAACCACACAACAACGTAAGAAACGGTTGGTATGTTTCCAATATCTTGCCTTGTCACTCACATCACTATTGAGAGGCCATTCTTCATCTCTTTTTGAGGCATAATGGCTGTTGTGGATAATATTCGAATACTCGCATGACATTACAACTGGTAACGTGTTTATAATAGAGCTACATCACTGTTTCGGTACATTTATTTTCAGTTTCTGTATTTTTTGTAAAATATGTAACTGTTGCTTATTTCAACTGACGATTTTGCCTATGTTTTACGTTTACCTGCAGCTAAGTAATTACAGACGTATTTAT